TCCGTGCCGTTGAGCTTATCCGACGACATTTGTTACTCCCCATGTGAGCGTCGTACGTTTCCCTTGCGTCCTGCCATCTCGTGACAGCTGTTGGCACTAAAGCTTTCATCGGACATCGAGCACCACCAAACCGATTTCTCCGTTGAAGATGAATTACGAGTGGCACCGGCTTGGGATAAAATCAAACACATTTCATGCAGTACCAGTAATGTCCTATGATAACTTCATGTTATGACTGTCGGCCGACGGTAAAAGGTTGTAGGCAGCCATTGCCACCCCTGCTCCTTGTGCTCATGGCGTCTGCGTTTTATCGATTGACTTCCGGTCTCCGTCCAGGCAGCTCATAAGCCAGTTATTGTGATAACCCACAGGATAGCAGAAGGGTGCATGTCTCGCGGTGCGTGTGTTGACATGGAGTCGCGAATGACGCTAGCGTTTGACTGGCTCGGCCCCATTCTGACCCCTCGTCGAGCTGGGACAGGTCACATCTACCAATGACATGTCTGCACGAACTCAGACTGGCCCGACCCGGCTGTCATGCTTATCCCGATTGGCTGTCGCTATGATGGGCCTCATCTCGGGCCGGAGTCGCGTCGCCACTGGTGCTGTTCGGTCGCACGTCCCAGGGGTCGTCGCTGCTCGAGCAGGCGGCGAGTGTCACCGCCTCTGCCACGCTGCGCCGCAGGCTCCGCCAGACAGGTGGAGCGCCAAGGGCGCCATCCCCAGCTAGACTGGCTCGGTGTTCTGGAATGCGAGGCGAGAGCCGTGCTGCCCGCGCTGTCTGCTCAGAGCAGCCGGCCGGCGCTGCAGCGTCGGGTCAGAGCAGCCAGCCGGCGCCGCGGTGTCGAGTCAGAGCAGCCAGCCGGCGGTGCAGTGGCGGGTCAAAGCAGCCAGCCGGCGCTGCAGTGGCGGGTCATAGCAGCCAGCCGGCGCTGCAGTGGCTTTTGGTTTGCCAAAGAGAGACAGCGGGGTCATTTACCCTGTCAGTACCGGGTCATTGCTTGAACTCCTGGTTTCAGAGCACCGGTCATAAAATAAGCCAGGGTCTATTAAAGGGCGACCTTGCTAAGTTACCCTTTTAGGCGGGCTATTCGCCCGTGAATGGGTTAATTGGTGGCGCCACCTCTGAATCGTTTTATGTTCGCTGGTCATCGCCGGTGTTAACTTGATGGGTCCTCGCCGGGACTACTTGATTTTGAACATTAGCGGTGTAGGATTGCTGCACACCACTCGGCTCATCAAGCACTTCGGGTTATCTGGTGTTCGGCCACCATCTTCAGGATAGTGTTCTGTCAAGCCCCTTTTCTGTTTTTTTCTTCTCGGAGTTGTCTCACGAACCGTGTGTAAACCATAATGGAATCCAGACCACCTGGGTTTGGAAGCATTTTCACTTCGAAACATTGTATGACAAACTTACAGGAATTGTTTTCACATTTGAAGATATTGAAGCAAACATCAAATATGATGAAACAAGCTCTCTTATAATTCTCGGTATACTTTTAAGCAGAAAAGATCATTCTGGTCAACACAATTTCTGTGAAATAAAGAAGCTTCTTGACACATTATTGCTTGATTACGTCATCGTAACTTGCGCAGCATTGATTGAGAGCCAATTAACGGACGTGATATCCTGAACTTGTACTCACAAACGCCAGATATGAACGACTCGACCATTACATTTGTCTTGGCCTTGATCGTTGCGTTAGTTATAGAATGGCAGGACTCGAATGACGTCATTATGGCGTCATGGATGTCTAAGTAACCTTGAAATACTCTCCCCGAAAAGTCCCCCCGTCATCGTGGATGTGTAGCTCAGAAACTAGAGGGGTGTAGTGCATAAGAAGGGCAGGGCCGTGAACTGCACCGAATGATCTTCAAGATGGCCATGGCAGTTCAAAACCCCATGGAAATGTGGAACGCTCCCTTAAAAAGGCGTACGGAATAATCATATAATTAAGAGACAGTGAAACAGACACCACAGCCATGATCACGCACAAACTGATAAGACAACTCGTCAACTCAAGCTGGCCGATGAACCAGCCGGCACCTCAGGAGACGGCCAAACAGAGACAGGAAAAGTCCGGGCACATCACGTGGGAGCTCAGTGCAATCCTGTGTCCCACAACAGAATCGTTCCCATTCCATCTCGTTGCGAGATCTCTGAAAGAAATACTGGCATAGCACCTTTCAAGCTTACCGCGCAAACAAGCTTGCAGGATAATGAGTACGGAAAAAAATGCTGGCAGTGAACTGGCACCAGCTGCTGTTTCTAACTGTGTGTGTAAATACAATACATGACCGCCGCAAAAATGCTGCTGCATTGCTTTCTTTGTAAAATACATATGGAGTATGAAACAAGACCACCAAACCCATACGGCATACAGTAGTACGAAAGCCTCTCCGTGTATTTCACTCCCATGTTTCCAATGATAAATCTGGGGGGAGGGGGGGGGGGAGCACCTCATTTCGACCGGTAGGACTGAGTGAACTTGGTGGAGGCAGAGCCCTTAGGTGACTAGTAATGTATGCCTTTCAGGGTCGCCGCGTGGTAGTTTGGAAAATCTTAGTATAGTCTTCACAAAACTGGATGTTAGATACGCCCCCGCATATTTCAAAATCCCACTTCATAACGACCAACTGATTATCAGCATGTCAGTTTGTCTCGCTATTACAATTCTGGAATCGTAGTTGCATGGTGAATAATCTGTGGCTTTATTTCGGTTATTGCGGCGCAGCATTTTGCGGGAATAAATCGAATAAAAACATGTTAACGGGTTCTGCTGGCCTGCTGTCAACAATCTGCTAGCGGGTTTTAACCGTTTGGAGTTATGACCAGCGGGTAGAATCTATTGCCGCTCAGAAAAGGGTAACATTTGCACTTTTCTTGAGATGGGGCGAGGGTTATTTTAGAGGGTTGGATAATTGATGTGAACGTCGCTCGATTGATGTGTAATTACAACAGTGTATTCCATGTTTCTCCTTAGCAGGTTCCGACTAACACAAATTGCGTCAGCCGGCTACTGTCAGCCCTAACGGTATTATGACCGCCGTACACAAAGGTTGAAGTGCGAGGTCACGCAACTTCATGTCCATGGTAGGTCGTGAGCGGTCCGAGACGAGCTCACCTTATCCCTTGAGTTAAGTGGTGACGTGCGTTAAGTGGTGACCATCGTTATCCTACTGACGCGTGGACGCATTCGCATAGAAAGAATAAGTATGAGCATATGATTTCCCGCTCTTGCCCCGAGCTGGCATGACATGTGTGAAAGATGGCTCAGAGAGACTCCAGTCAAGGCACGACCGCGGCGTGTTGTGGGTGTATGTGCTCATGCATCGCGTGTTAGATCGGTAGGGTCGCGCCAGCCCAGCTCCCCATGCCGAGGCTGGCAGAGGTCTGACGAGGCTCTTACTCAAGCCGGGGGGCCGGCGGTTAGGGGAACCTGAAGTAGCGTCCTGGCGTCGGCGTCGCTGCCATTCTTTGAACGGTTCGGAGCCCCGTGTCTCGAGAGTGTCCCGCGGACATTGGTTTGGATCCGCCAGGTTGTCGGTCGTACTCTCAGGCGCCAAAACCTGGCGACGTCCTCTGCCAGGCAAGACCTGAAGTTGCGACTGACTGTACATGAATACAAATGTGCTGATCATACACTGCCCCTTGTAACGTATTGAACACGCTTATCTTCTTTGGATTGGCCCAGTACGTTCAATCGGCCGGCAACTCAGAATGATTGATCGCCAAAGACGTACGTTTAGCACCAGTGGTGGGATGTGGTGGAGATGATATATCCATGTCAGGTGCTAGGGGAAATTTTTTGATCAGGAAAATTATTTGTATCATTGTGTGGCATCTGTGATTCTGACAAGGCATGCAAATTGAAAGTAGCACTCCTGTTTGTAAAACAGACTTGTACCTTCCCGCCCCACCCCATTTGTAAGCTACCTTTGGTAATACAATACAGCAATAGTATTGCGAGCATGGGGTTAAATGCCAGTGATCTCCACTAAGCTGGCTTTGTGCGGTGTCGGTGCAGTGGCAGTCGATATCGTTCGTCTATTTTTACGCCGCTCCGTGCAGATCTGCGTGTGGCGAGGCAGCGCGTTCCCAACAGTCCCGCACGGCGGCGGTCGTAAATCCTCTACGGTACTGGAATGTCGGAGGCGCGACCCTCGCCCTCCCCCGGGGCGGCGAATGGGCCGGTGTGATGAGCCCATATCATGACGCTGGGTCGACGGTAAAGGGCCGCAGGCCACCATCGCCACTCCTGGACTACGTGTTTATGGCGTTTGCGTTTTGGTCGATTGATTCCTGACCTTTGCGACGTGTAGGTAGCTTAAATAATGATTGTAAGTATGATGGTGGACGAGACAGATATACGGCATTTCTGCAGCCGTATTTCGGCGTCAGCCTGCGTGTGTTGGACGGTGTGATAAAAGCGCATTTGAGGATTAACTTGCCTCAGTCACCAGCATCTGAATCGGACAGCATTGGCTGCCCAAGAATCGCGAATCGTGACTACACTACAATGTCGACTTCTAGTGTAAAAATCGATCAGATATGAGTATGCTGTTGACGCGTTGACGCGTGCAGTTTTGTACATTTTTCGGCCCAGCTCGGCTCCCCTGCGGGTTTTCCTTTGCGGCATTGGCGGAGGGCGGCGTAGAAGAAGGCAAGAAGTTGCCAGGCCAAGAAGTTTTAGCGCCCTAAGTCCGAATGATCAGCGTCGTGCATGGACGGACGAGATCACAGTTGTTTGGCTACGGCGGGACGTGGCCTTTAGGGCAGCAAATATATCAGGGCTATAAAGCGGCGGCTACTGCTCGAAACGTTTCCGATTGCCACGCGCTGCGTCTGGTGCCAGGTGGCTGGCCACGGTGGCGGTGGGCCGCTGCCGACCCCTGGCGTGTCGGTCGAGCTGGGCCGCGGGGGACCGACTCGTGGCGCCGCCTGCCGGCCGGCCGGGCGGCGCGCCGCCGCCAGCCGCCGCCGCCAGCCGAGTCCCGAGTCGCCCGTCGCCGAGCGCGGAGGCGTCAGTGCTGACATGAGTGGCGTGCGCGTGTGACCGGGGGCATGTGCGGCAGACAGACGGCGCTGTGACACGTGACGCGCCAGCGCCGCCCCTTCAGCCATGTACCAGCCGCTGGGGCCCCCGGACCCCATGCCCGGACCGTCCATGGGCGAGCACTTCTACGAAGGTAGGCAGCGGCGGTGCGCGGCGCGCACTGTTGCTAGGCGGCCGGCGCGCTGCTCGCGCCGCTTTCGCCGGCCGCCATGGGCGCCGGGCGACCTGCAACGCTGACCGGCCGACCCGCGGTCGTCGCCCTGTCGCCGCGCCGCTCGCGAAAGGCCGCCGCCGCCGCCGCCGCCCGGTTGGCGCGGTCGGCCATGGGCCGGCGAGCGGGCGGGCGGGCGGCGGGGCTGGCGGCGCGCCGTGCCGTCGGCCGGCCGGCCGCCCGACGAAGCCCGACTGAAGGTCACCGGCGGCCAGAGCTGGCGGCCGCCGCCGGCCATGGGCGCCCGCCGCGCCGCCCCGCGCCCGCTCTGTTTACGCAGGGCCGGCCGCCAGCGGCGCCGCCTCGCCCCGGTCGGCGGTGCGTGTGCGGCGCTGCTCGGCTGCCGGCCGGGCGGCGCTCCAGCTCCGCCCGGCGACGCTCACACGGCCCGGCATGGCACCGCCATGCGCAGTCCGACCAGCCACCGTCATTGATTTAGTGCTATTTTAGAATCGCGAAAGCAGCCGCGGCCGACTTGGGACCGAACGGGTAGCCTTGCATGTACTGGTGCAGCATCTGTGCGCGGAGCAGGTTTTCTCCATCCTCCCCCTCTCTCTCTCCCTTGCCTACACTCTTCCCTCTCTCTCCCGCTCTGTTCTCTCTCCCCCGCACTGTTCTTTGTCCCCCGCACCGTTCCTTCTCCCCCAAACTGTTCTCTCCCCCCCGCGGTTTTTTCTTTCTCTCGCTCTTTTCTCTCTCCCCCGCACTGTTCTCTCTCCCCGCTCTGTTCTCTCTCCCTGCTCTGTTCTCTTCTCGTCCTCCCCGCTCTGTTCTCTCTCTCCCGCTCTGTTCTCTCTCTCCCGCTCTGTTCTCGTCTCCTCCCGCTCTGTTCTCGTTCTCCCGCTCTGTTCTCGTTCTCCCGCTCTGTTCTCGTTTCTCCCGCTCTTCTCGTTCTCC